AATTATTCATATTTATTAAGAAACTTAAAAGAAATATTCGTTTATTTTCAGTGATACACAAACTATAAAATTATCAATAGTATGCTTTAATATCATGATAAAGTCTTTCAGTTAAGTTAGATTTATAATATCTGGGATAATGCAATATGCATAAACTACTTTGGTATCGGATTAGAAATCTTGTCTATCAAGTTAACTTTTGACCATTTTTCCTTATTTACATGTAATTAAAAACTAAAAGAATTTTATGGATTTAATTTAAAAATAAAAAGTATATATTAATGATTGTTATAATAATAACAAATAATTTTGAATATAGATTTTAATTCAATAAAATCAATAATGATCTATATAATTTATATTTGCTTTTAATTTTATATAACATATATTAAATAATAGAGGAGTTGAATTGTTTTATATAAATATTTAGATAATTTAATAAAATTTATTTTAATAGAAATACCGATAATTTAAATACTTGTGTATTAATGTAATAATTCAATATAAAAAATTAAAAAAATGATTTAATAAGCAAATTTAAAGTTAAAATGTTAAGTAGATGAGCATAAGGAAGAGATTGATTTTGTTTGTTATGATTAGTTTTGTACAGGATTTCGATTATAATGTTTTGAATGTTTTAAAAAGGGAATCCATAATAATCATATTAATGATGTCAAAAAAATAAACACTTTGATGTAATTCCTTGAAAATAATAATAAAGATTGTGATAATTTAATTGATGATCTTAATAAATATATAGAAAATGTAAATTAATCATTTTCTTAATTAAAAAGAGGAATCACAAATAAATATTCATTATTAAAAGAAAGATTAGTTAATTTGGATTCTTGTTAAATTAATGATTATTTGAATTCAACTATTTAATTAAATGAATATAAATAATCTATTTCCAAAATTATTGAAGAATAAACTAAGAATATATCTCATTCATTTAATAATTTATATTAATAATTATAATTATCATCATTTAATTATTATTAACTTGATGAAAATGATATTAAATTATCTGAAGATCTATATAAATAGGGTATTTATTTAATAATTAAGATTTTAGGTTATTAATTATATTTGGATAAAAAGTATAATGAGGCCATAGAACAATTAGATAAATCAATTTAAATAAATCCTAATAACTAGGTATCTATAAGTTGTAAAGGTATACTTAATAATCTTTATATTAATAGGTTAGTGTTTAAGGTTGTTAAATAAATTTGAAGATGCAATCACTTGGTTGGACAAAACATTAGCTATTGACCCCAAACATGTTAATTCGTTATGTAATAAAGGTATACTTAATAATCTTTATATTAATAGGTTAGTGTTTAATGTTTTTAAATAAATTTGAAGATGCAATCACTTGGTTGGACAAAGCATTAGCTATTGACCCCAAACATGTTGTTTCCTTAAGTGATAAAGGTATACTTAATAATCTTTATATTAATAGGTTAGTGTTTAAGGTTTTTAAATAAATTTGAAGATGCAATCACTTGGTTGGACAAAGCATTAGCTATTGACCCCAAACATGTTAATTCGTTATGTAATAAAGGTATACTTAATAATCTTTATATTAATAGGTTAGTGTTTAAGGTTTTTAAATAAATTTGAAGATGCAATCACTTGGTTGGACAAAGCATTAGCTATTGACCCCAAACATGTTAATTCGTTATGTAATAAAGGTATACTTAATAATCTTTATATTAATAGGTTAGTGTTTAAGGTTTTTAAATAAATTTGAAGATGCAATCACTTGGTTGGACAAAGCATTAGCTATTGACCCCAAACATGTTAATTCGTTATGTAATAAAGGTATACTTAATAATCTTTATATTAATAGGTTAGTGTTTAAGGTTTTTAAATAAATTTGAAGATGCAATCACTTGGTTGGACAAAGCATTAGCTATTGACCCCAAACATGTTAATTCGTTATGTAATAAAGGTATACTTAATAATCTTTATATTAATAGGTTAGTGTTTAAGGTTTTTAAATAAATTTGAAGATGCAATCACTTGGTTGGACAAAGCATTAGCTATTGACCCCAAACATGTTAATTCGTTATGTAATAAAGGTATACTTAATAATCTTTATATTAATAGGTTAGTGTTTAAGGTTTTTAAATAAATTTGAAGATGCAATCACTTGGTTGGACAAAGCATTAGCTATTGACCCCAAACATGTTAATTCGTTATGTAATAAAGGTATACTTAATAATCTTTATATTAATAGGTTAGTGTTTAAGGTTTTTAAATAAATTTGAAGATGCAATCACTTGGTTGGACAAAGCATTAGCTATTGACCCCAAACATGTTAATTCGTTATGTAATAAAGGTATACTTAATAATCTTTATATTAATAGGTTAGTGTTTAAGGTTTTTAAATAAATTTGAAGATGCAATCACTTGGTTGGACAAAGCATTAGCTATTGACCCCAAACATGTTAATTCGTTATGTAGTAAAGGTATACTTAATAATCTTTATATTAATAGGTTAGTGTCTAAGATATTTAAAATAATATGATAATTCTTTAACATTTCTTAATCAAGCACTGTCCATCAATCCTAACCATACTTTTAGTCTTGATTGCATTGGTATTTTTTCATTTATATTAAGGTAACTGTCTACAAGATTAAGAGAAATATTAAGAAGCTCTGATATATTATGAAAGAAAATTAAAGATTTAACCTAATGATCAATGGACCAAAAATTAAAAGGGTATTCTTATTTTCTTAATATAGAATTTTGTGAAAAGAAATTGAAAAATTGAATTCACATATAATATCATAATATCAAATTATAAATTATTTAATAATAATTACATAGTATTTTATTTTTTAACACAAATTCATAATTCATTATCAATATTAAATTAATTATAATTAAATATAATCCAAAATTGATAATTTTTTATAATTATATAAAGTATATAATTTAACAAAATTTATAAGAATTCAAAAAATTCTTCAGCTCTCAACTTTATTTTATTGAAATCACATCTAATAATTCAAATTTATAAACAATATTCATTTTAATAAGATTTAGTTTAGTAATATTTAATAAAGAATGATAGTTTTTGCATAACTAATGCCATGATGAAATTTTTCTCTATATCAAATGATCAATTTCATTTATCAGAAAGTTTTTTGAATTAAAAAAGTAATAACCAAAAATCCCCATTTATCCAATTCAGTAGTAAAATAAAAGATATTATTATATCTAAGAAAATTCATGAATTATATATATTATGATTTCAGGGTGGGATTGCCAACAAGCCTGATGAACAGTTTACTATTACTGATTCTTGTTATTTTTATTTTAGATCCTGAATGAAAACATTATGGAGCCAAAAAAAAAATTAAGAATCTTATGATAATGAAAAATTTTAAACCCCTTATTTTATAGATTCTTTATACTATTAATAAATTCAATTTTTTCAATTGTAAAAAAGTAAATTATTCAATTTAAACTATTACTTCTTAAAAAACTAGAGTTTAATTATTTGTTTAAATATATCCATATTTTATTTTATAAGGTTGTCTTTTATACCCTTCAGAGTACAAAATAAGATTTTAAAAAAAAAATTTAACCATTTAGATTATGTTATTAAATAAAAAGTATCATGTATAATAAAATATTTATTTTAGTTTAATATGATCAAGAAAGATAATTAATGGAATAATTAACGGCTTTAGATTCGTAACGGCTGGACCGGCCAATCAATTTAAGGAATTTAAATGGATTTTATGAACTGAAGTTATTCCATTGAAAATTTGTCCCGTTTGGTTGTTTCCAACTGCAAACTTAGGAAGATGGGGAAAAATAATGAAGTTACTATATCAGATTCATCAATTAGTCAATTAACTTAGTAATTGGTAGAGAGGTGAGCAATATTTGGTATTGATTTCATGGAAAAACTTGTACATAAATAAATCCAATGTTAAAGAAATTAGGAACTAAAAGAGGCAAAGCTATAAATTAAATTAATTAATTTATTTAAATGAAATTACTAATTCTGAAATTTTTGAAAAATAAAGAAATCAGCTATGTTGATATTTAAAAGTTCTATGTTTCTATTTCTTGCTTTATAGAAAACTTAATATTTTTAAAGAAGAAAGTACAATTAGCAGTAATTTTCATTTGTTTTTAGAATAAATAGAGAAACTAAAAATTTTTTAGAAAGAATTAATTGATATAACTTTTTAGGATTCTGAAATAAGGAATGATAAAGCTTTTTAGATCATAATCAAGAAATTTTCAAAACTCTTAATGGATGTTCATCTAACTCGAGGGAAATAAGATTGAATGTATATAAAATTAACAAAAATTGAATATGCTCCTAAATTAAAAAAAAAAATAAATGGACTAAATAATGGTATAAATGAACATATAATAAATAACAATATTGAATAAAATTTAATTAAACTATTTAGCAGAAAACCCATTTCTAGGTGATGAATATTATTTATACTAAAAATTAGTTATTATTTAACAATGAATCAATATAATATTAGAATCAATAAAAGTTATGAATTAATTAAGTTTTGAACTTCTTTTCAATAAACTTAACAATATTTTATACTACATAGACTTTTGTATAAAATCATACTTTTTACATTCGAATGCATTAGAGTTTTAAAGGTATTTATTAGAAAAATTAATCAAGCATTGAAGGCTAGGAAGTCCAACATATACTACTTGACAATCATTAATGATTAGTGAATTAAGGGTCAATTTTATTCTTAATTTACTACATATATTTATAATCAAAATAAATAAATTTTTTTATAATTATGATTTCCTGAAATTCATTTATTACTAAAGTTATTTTCAATTCAGAAAAGAAAAAAATTCTAGAGATAAGTTAACCATAGAAATTCAACTAAGAGAAAAGTAAAAATATTATCAATCACAACAATAAGAATTAATTTAATAAATTCTTATATTGTTTAATTTTTAGATTTATTTTGTTATTTAATTTTGGAACATTTAATCACTTTTATTTAAAAAATAAAAATTGAATCAAGTTTATTATTTTTAGTGTTTAATTTCATAAAGGTTCAATATGAATTTAACGGTGATAAAATTTAATTCTTAGCAAATTAAAATAAAAAGAGAGTATCATTAATTATACTTCAAATTCTACATAAATAACAACTATCAGTTGAATAATTTTGATGATAAACTAAAATTAAATTAATAATAAATTATACTGTATTACTGTCTAGGTGTTTAAATTTTCAAAAGAACATCAAAGTTATGCTAAGTAATATTAAAACTTTTTAAAATAAAATTAATTGAATTGATTTTATAAATCTTAATGAATATTAAGCGGATTTGATAAAAAGAAAAAATCAATTGACCTTCAATGTAATTTTTGTTTTCTGATTAATTTAAAATAGAAAAAAAATTATCAATTTTGGATTATATTTAATTATAATTAGTTTAATATTGATAATGAATTATGAATTTGTGTTAAAAAATAAAATAATATGTAATTATTATTAAATAATTTATAATTTGATATTATGATATTATATATGAATTCAATTTTTCAATTTCTTTTCACAAAATTCTATATTAAGAAAATAAGAATACCCTTTTAATTTTTGGTCCATTGATCATTAGGTTAAATCTTTAATTTTCTTTCATAATATATCAGAGCTTATTAATATTTCTCTTAATCTTGTAGACAGTTACCTTAATATTTATCAAAATATACCAATGCGATCAAGACTAAAAGTATGGTTAGGATTGATGGACAGTGCTTGATTAAGAAATGTTAAAGATTTATCATATTATTTTAAAAATCTTAGACAATCACCTATTAATATAAAGATTATTAAGTATACCTTTAATACATAACGAACTAACATGTTTGGGGTCAATAGCTAATGCTTTGTCCAACCAAGTGATTGCATCTTCAAATTTATTTAACAACCTTAAACACTAACCTATTAAAATAAAGATTATTAAGTATACCTTTATCACTTAAGGAAACAACATGTTTGGGGTCAATAGCTAATGCTTTGTCCAACCAAGTGATTGCATCTTCAAATTTATTTAACAACCTTAAACACTAACCTATTAATATAAAGATTATTAAGTATACCTTTACAACTTATAGATACCTAGTTATTAGGATTTATTTAAATTGATTTATCTAATTGTTCTATGGCCTCATTATACTTTTTATCCAAATATAATTAATAACCTAAAATCTTAATTATTAAATAAATACCCTATTTATATAGATCTTCAGATAATTTAATATCATTTTCATCAAGTTAATAATAATTAAATGATGATAATTATAATTATTAATATAAATTATTAAATGAATGAGATATATTCTTAGTTTATTCTTCAATAATTTTGGAAATAGATTATTTATATTCATTTAATTAAATAGTTGAATTCAAATAATCATTAATTTAACAAGAATCCAAATTAACTAATCTTTCTTTTAATAATGAATATTTATTTGTGATTCCTCTTTTTAATTAAGAAAATGATTAATTTACATTTTCTATATATTTATTAAGATCATCAATTAAATTATCACAATCTTTATTATTATTTTCAAGGAATTACATCAAAGTGTTTATTTTTTTGACATCATTAATATGATTATTATGGATTCCCTTTTTAAAACATTCAAAACATTATAATCGAAATCCTGTACAAAATTAATCATAACAAACAAAATCAATCTCTTCCTTATGCTCATCTACTTAACATTTTAACTTTAAATTTGCTTATTAAATCATTTTTTTAATTTTTTATATTGAATTATTACATTAATACACAAGTATTTAAATTATCGGTATTTCTATTAAAATAAATTTTATTAAATTATCTAAATATTTATATAAAACAATTCAACTCCTCTATTATTTAATATATGTTATATAAAATTAAAAGCAAATATAAATTATATAGATCATTATTGATTTTATTGAATTAAAATCTATATTCAAAATTATTTGTTATTATTATAACAATCATTAATATATACTTTTTATTTTTAAATTAAATTACAATAATAATCATACAATTATATACGATAATTATTTGAATTTATATTACATCTATTAAAATACTAATAGTAAAAAAGTTTTCATATTCTTACCTAAATTAAAATGATCACAAAAAGGCTAATTATGAAATTCATGATTGAATTCAAACAAACATAAATAATAAATACTTTTTCTATGAAAATGATCTATCTTGTTTCACATAATTTAATAGCTCCATAAATTTTATTTATCTTTAAATTAATTTGAGGAATAAAATTAATAACTCTAATTCAGATTTAAAGATTTTTGAATACCAATTAATAATGATACTATGTCTTTCTTCAATAGAGTAATTAAAAATTGAAAAGAATGTATTTAAGTTTGCAAATATTAAACAGATTCAAGGCTCAAATAATTAAATGAGATTTCTAAAATCAATTATTCAAAGTTATTTGATTATTTTTGTTTAAAATATAGCTTTTTATCTATTTTTTCTTCGTTAATGATATTAACCCTAATAATATTATAATTTTTGATTTGATTAAGATCATAGCAAATCTTTTGTTATTAAAAGTAAACAAAAATAAAATAAATTTAATATGCTTTTAATTCCCTTAAAAAAGTTCACTTGTTATAAAAAAAATTTTTTCAATTTTTAAATAGGTCTGATTTCAATTTGGAGAGTAATTTATGGGCAAAATTTGAGAAAATAATTCTAAGAAAATGCTATTTTGTACCATGCACATGATTTAAAGCATCAGATTCCATTTTTTCAAATTACTCCAATAATTGCAGTTCTATTAGATTAAATATTTTCTTTTCTTCATAAAGCTAAACTTAAGAACTTACTTATTAAAAAAATTAATTTACTCTATGATATCATTATAATACAATTTCAATTTCCTTTTTTTTCTTTAACACTTTCTTTGAGTATTCTAAAATAATATTTCTAAATAATTTTCTATGAATGAGAACCAAATAAATATTATATTTTTAAGTTACTTAAAAGTTATTCATCTTTAAGTATCATGAATCTAGAAAGTTGAAATCATTTAATCAATAGTAATTCGGATCATTATTTCAATTATCAATATTATAGGAAGCTTCTTAATTCTTGAAATATTGCTATTTTTAAATTACTAGTTAATAATCCCTTTTTTGATTGTATCAGATACATTTATGAATATTATATATTTTCAAAGGAAAAAAGAGCTAACTTAAATTAAGAGTAAAACGGAGTTTATATTATTTTTTGGGGCCCAGTTGGCTTGTGAAATAGGAGCTTTTCTATAAAAAAGTATAGAGGAATGGCAATACATTGAGATATATTTGATTTTTGATTAATGATTGATATATGAATTAAGTGCACTTAATTCTGAATACTATATAAAATTAGAGTAAAATAATTTACAATAATATCTAGGTTCGGTAATTTATTTAAATCACGATTAATAACATTTCAATTTTTGTACCTTCTTTATGAAATAAATCTTATTACTCAATAAAATCATATTATTTTGAATCAACTTTTATTATAAATGAAAATAAATAGTAATCTTCTTATTTTATTAAATTTTTCAATCAGTTTTACTCTTCTTGCTTTAATTTTGATATTATCAAAAACTAACATCATACTTCAAGCTTTATCATTTTTGAGGGAATAATAATTAATTATATAAGAATAATTTGGATATTTAAAGCTTAATTTAATATTAATGATTTTTAATTAGTCAATATTTTAATAAATAAACAAATTAGGGGAAAAAAAGGATTTCTCCTTTAAACACTTTAATTCGATTAATTATGAAGCACAAAGTTGAATTTCATTTTCCAAAAAAAGTTTCAAAAGTATAGAATATTCAAAAGAATATCAAAATTATGGATTAATTTATGGATAAATTAGAGATCATGAATATAAACAGAAATCGGTCATCATTTTATACCACTTCTAAGTTGATGTCAATCTGAAAAAGTATATTTTATTAACTTGTTATAATATAAAAATCTTATATTTTATAAAATATACTGAATAAAATAAGAAATATGATTGATATGTATTACTCCTTTCATGTATAAAAAATTTGATTATTTATCTTAACACTAAAGTCTTCTTTGCTTTTTTGTTATCTGTACTCAAAATACACCTTTATTAATTTAAATCCTAATATCATTAATATAAATCTAATTGTAATTTTATTGATATGTCTATTATTTCTGTTAAGAAATCAGAAATTTAATTATATTCAATAATCATTTACAAAAGTTAAGTTTATATTTTGATCTTTTTCTTTAAATATTTGTGATTAAATTTCTTTAACATCCATAGCAGTTTTAATCCCAAAAAAACGGCATAAAATATTTTTAAGTAATTTTTAGAATTAGAAATAAAATTAATATATCTGTCTAGGTAATTCAAAGATATTTTAATATATGAGAAAAAGGAAAAAATTTAAAATGGGGGAGGGGTGATACATGAATAGGTTTTTTAATTATAACTCTTAATTTCCTGATTTTATAATCAATAATTTACGGATTCTATATTTTTAATGGGTATTCTGTTAATCTTAAATATTGTCTAATCTTCTTATAAATTAAAAAATTTTTTCTCGTAATCTTATTCTTAATTTTATACTCTTTTCTCCTAATCATACATTATATCTTATAAATTTTTCCAATAGTTTTCATTATTAAACGTTAAAATTATTAATATTAGTAGTGTGGTAATATAATTTATTCGAAAATTCCTAAAATTGGTTATAATTTATGTTAATTGCCTATTTAGATACTTGTTCTAAACCATTTTTAAATTCATTATTCTTACTTCTAATTCTCTTTTCTAATTTCTCTCTATTCCATACAGATGATTAAGTGATTCGTATTAAATTTTAAATTTCTAAATCTTTTCAATTTATGCTTAATTGATTCATTGAATCTAGGAATTCATTTACAAAAATGATTCATCCTTAGCTTTTATTGCATTTTCCAATTATAATTTATCATTTTACTCTTTTTCGTAGTTTTGAGACAATTCTTAATATTAAACGCATTATTTTTAAAGTTCCAAATTAAAGTAGTCCCTCTACTATTTTGGTGATTATCAATAAGCAACTATACTTAATCAATGAATAAATTATTAAATTAATAATTTGAAAATTTTGTTAATTCAAAGAGATAATGAACTAAATTATTCAATATGACTTGATTATTCAGATTATTTTTTTTGAATCTTGATTTAAAATTGTTTTAAATATCATCAATAGTTTAATCAAGGTAATCATCAATTTAATTGAATGAAGACTAATAACTAATCCAAAATTATCAAATAACCTTAATTTATTTTTGCATTCCATTGATACATTCCTCTATTTCTATCGATTCTTAGTTTTCTTACATATAAATAATTTAGAAAAATAATTCGCAATCATTTATTTATAACGTTATATTATTGAATTTAAAAATAATTTGTTAAACATCCTAACTTAATTCAAATGTGCTATAAGATTTTTCCCAATCTCTCTCGCTTTTTGGATTAATAATAATATATCTAAGAATCAACAATAAAACAGAGAAATTAATCATATTTCAATTCATAAATTATGATGTCTAGATAAGTTCAACTTAGGAATCTATAAATTATAAAACTTAGTCAATTTTAATAAAATAGCATTTAAGATGGATTTGAGAGACTAAAATAGTAAAATATTGGGATTTACTTGATTAACATTCAAATATGAATTACTCTTGACTATTTGTTCAGAATTCTGTAATTTTCATTTCTTAATTCTTAAATATACTTAATTATTTACTTACTATATTATTTTGAGTTTATTTGTATTCTTAACTAATTTTTGGTTAATTTTATCATTGTCAATGAATTTTATATTATTGTTCATTCTATAATTGTCAATGACCAAAATAATTCTATATCAACCTATCAACATTTAGATATCTAATAATAAAATTAGAGAAGTAATATTATTAAATTTCAAGAAAATAAAGTTTAATAATCTAATAAAATTAGTTTTTGATTAAAAATATAGTAGAGAATTAAATTTAAAGTAAATAAAGATGTTGATAAACTTTAATATTAAGTTATTATAATTTTCTTGTTTTATTTTATAGAAATATATATCTATTTATCCAACGTACAGTGATAGTCAATTATGTATTATATCGTGATTATATTTCATGTCTATTTATTATATGCAAATTCATAAATTGTAGTGCTAAACTATGCAATCAAGAATTTATTTTTAACTTTAACAATGTCTCTATAAATCTAATTTTTTCGAACTTATCCCTATCTTTTATACTATTAACTATTTAAGGTTTTTTCATTTTTTTAATTATTGGATCATATAATATGAATCCTTGTTTATTTTATGATTATAATCCATGTTATTGTTTAATTATTTACATTTATATATTTCTTATTTTTTTTATTTACATACTTATACTTAAATTCAATTTCTTCATTTTTGTTCTTTTCTTAATTGAAAAGAGGTTTCATAGATTAACCACATCGCTAACCTTTGGTTGGAATTCATTTATAATAAAGCTAAAACCCTTAATTAAAATATCAAAAACATTTCCTTAACATTAAAATTTTTCATAAAAGTCTTAAAGTTCAAGTTTTTTCTTAATTATATCTTAAGGTTTGTTTTTTGAGGTTGGTCAGTTAGGTTTTTATGTTTTATTTCCTTATACATCAAAGCCTTATAGAAAAAATAGATATATAACAGTAAGAAAAAAATATAGAATAATTTTTAATCAAAAATGGATATTAGATATGTAAGACTAATCATGATCTATCTGATAGAAAGTATGATTAAATTCTCAAAAATTAAAAAACTCTTAATCCAAAATATAAAATTAATTTTAATAATATGAAAAATTAAAAAATAATCTTTTTAATAAATTTATATTAATTTTATTAAGAATGAATCAGATAGAAATAAGATTGAAGAAGGATATTAGAAACAGTCTTTGATAAAATTATCAGGATGAGCAAGAGAATGAAATTTTATAAGGAAAAAGGAGTTTACGTATAAAAAGGATATTTAATATTTAGCTTCCGATCATAAACCTTTATCTGCGAGAATTAATTTTATGAGAGAGATCTTTAGTAAAAGGAAATAAGATGTGGTACAAATATTGGAGGTAGGTCACAAGTAAGAGATATGTTTATTGAGAAAAGAATATTTAGATGTAAGTTTATAAAAACTGCTCTAATATAAAGTAGACCTTGAGGGAAGTATAAATTGATAATCATAAAGGCTTTGGAATGAGAAATTCAAAGAAATAAGTATTAGAAACAGACAGAAGATTCCTGAATCATACCATAACATCTAAACATTAGCATTTGTAATTAGCATAAATTTCCAATTTTATATAATACAAATAATCAACTTTTATTTGAAAAAACTAATCTAGAAAAGAAATTTAATTTTATTCCTGTTTATATTATGATTTTTCTATTCATTATTAATAATAATTTGACATTTTTCCTGGATTATTATAATTTCAATATGGTCAATCTTTTAGTCATATATATTAACAGATTATTTAATTGACTTTTCTATCTGTTATTGTTGGATTCTTTTGGTGAAATTTCAAAAGATAAGGACTTTTTATTTAGGCATAGAGCTTAATAATTGAATACTGTCACTGACTATTAAAAATCTGAGCCTTATTTTTAGAACAAATTATTAATATGCTTATCTTCAAAAGGATTAATTCATATCATTAAAAGTCCTTCAAGTGATATACTGCTAATTATATATTTAAATACATTTTCAGTTAACCCTTAATTCTATCTTTAAATTTATAAGATTTCGTTTGTAAAGAAAATCTTGATTCTATTTTAAACATTTTATTATTATATCTCTTGATTTAAATTTTAATTATTAAAAATTAACTCATAATAGATATTTACATTATAAATATGTATTTGATTAAATATTCTTAAAACAACTTTAACAATAAATTAAGTTGGGATATATATATGATCTCAAAAAAAGGAAAGAGAATTCAAGAGTTATAAATGAAGATAAATAAAAGTTATAATAAAAATCAGGTTAATTCAATTTACGACATTTAATTGTTACAATAAAAGTTTAATAATAATAATTATATAATCAATTGAATAAATTTAATTTAACCTTTTCTATTTGAAATTCTAATAAAAATTAATAAGATTATTATTTATTTGTTTGTAGCCATATAATTATAAATTTGTTTTGAACTGACTACATTCAAAAAATTTACTGATATATTTACTTTTGAAACAAAAATAAAGAATGAATCTTTGAATTCCTTTAAAAAATCAATACATGTTAAATATAAATAATTTTATGCTTTTGAAAATAGAAAAATAAATAAAACTTAAATAGGATTTTAGATTTTAATTAAGCAGGATATATTATTTTATGATATTTTTAAACTTTATTCAATTATTATTGACATATTGACTTAATTAAATAGATAAATTTATTAGAAAATTAATTTATAAATTGAAATAATAAAAAATTCATTATTTTTCTAATGATATTAATCATTACTTTAGTCTAGATATCTAACCAAAATTTGATTTATTAGTTTGATGCAAGTGCTCAAGTAAAAGATGGTAATTTTTAAATGATTTATATTCATTAGATTGGCAAGGTTTGTCTACTTTCTTAAAATGTGGAAATATATTTTATTTTGGGCAAGCTGAAACCCATTAAATTAGCAGAGTATTTTT